CTTGGTTTAAAAATATAAAATATTTGCCATTTTATTTAATTTGGTTAAGGATACAAGAGATAACAATCTGAAGGAACTTAATCCCCTCATTATCGCCCAAGGTTTTGGATTAATTCCTCCCATGATAGAACTTAATAAACTATTCTATAATAGTGGCACTTCATATTACAGAACTTCAGGCGAACTCCAAAAATAATGCAAACCACACTTGACACTTACTTATATTTTAGAAAAAAATGCAGAAGAAAAGAGGAAGGGGATTTTGAATTTCAGTGTTTTCAATATATCGAGGACATGACCCTAGATAGGAGAATATAAAGGTAGAGGATTAGGGTAGAAGGCTAATACATAGTTGAGCATGGTCTAGTTTCCCTTATCAGTAGTGTTATTAGTAATTCACCTACTATCGTATTCTTAAATTTCACTATTACTTGTTGTTTTCTTTGCTTCGTTTATCGTATCATTTGTAGTTGCTATTGTTCTTTTCTCCACTATTTTCTTAATGCTTCACTTGTGCCAAGGATCTAGCGGAAACAACCTCTCTATCTTCACAAGGTAGGTGTAAGAATACGTACACATCACCCTCCCCAAACCCCACTTGTGGGATTACACTGGATATGTTGTTGTTGTTGTGTTTTCAATATATCAAATCTGAGGCAAAACCTCTAAATTTATAGCCAACAAGAGGTGTTTGTTCAGAATTTAGGTGTGTTGTCAAGCCGAGCAAGCGAGTGACAGCGCGAGGGCATACCATCTTCCCAACTCTTAAAAACCCAACACATACAACAATCCCTGGTGCTGCTTACAATATTAACCACAGTCCTTATCAGCAACCAGAAAATGTCTTCAGATACTTCCTTTGATTCAGATGATTAATGTTATTATGGAGATCATTAACTGATTTAGATGGTAGGTTTATCACAACTGACCTAAAGGGCGACGGCCAGTGGCCTATAAACAATGCCCACAAGAATAACTAACACAACCTAGGCATCCGCATTCAACAAAGGAAGGAAGTTCCAAATAATAGCCTCATTTACATACTCTGGCAGTCTCTTAAATTAAAAAGACATAAATACATGGATATGCATGGTTAGGCAAAACTTCTCAAGGAATTAAAATACATTAATCAGAATTAACCGAAAGAATTTCTACAAAGAGTGTTCCTATCTAAGCACTGAAGTGCAATCAAATGCCTAATTTATAAGCGTAAACATAAAACTGCATGCTCTATTTCTTCCATTGACATTCTACTATTACAACTACACCTCAGTTCCGGACAAGTTCTGTCCATGTTTCTCCATTTAAATGTTTCATACAAGCAGTGCATAAAACCAATGATTTAAGCAATTGTCTTACCAGTTGTATATCTTGACGTGATATCTTCTTAGCTTCCCCCTCAGACATTTTCAATCTTTCAATACTGCAAAAACTCAGAAAAAGCCAAACGTAATTCATGTTAACAAGGCTTGGCAAAGAAATGCAATCCACCTCTTTCTAACAAATATACAAAACAACCAATATCACCTGATAATAAAACTAAACTTAGCATTAGACACCTAAATTACCAAAAATCCCCAAAAAAAAGAAGGAAAAAAGGAAGCAAAAGCAGCTACCAGCTACATTAACACGTCCTATCAAGCAACATCAAAATACAGCTTTTTTAAGAATCAAAAACAAACTAACAAAAAATTTCCACACCTATTTTCTGATTTTTTGAATAACAATTCAACAAAAATGTCACTAATATTGAACAAAGACGATTCCATAAGATTCACAATAGACAAACAATTTCAAGCAAATGAAATTTTTACCAATTCCGTACATAAACAACTTCTAATAACATTAATTGCGTTATAATATCAAACAAAATAGCTCTATGAACAATCCTAACCTCGTAACATAACTACATCAATATAAATGAATCAAAATCAAGGTAATTACGCAAAAAAAAAAACTATTTCTTCACGGAAACCAAAAAAAAAGAGCTTTCGATCAATTTGACCTGAAATATAATCAGTTCACCGGAAACAACCGTTGACGACTATCAGCGGTGAATTCAAATAGGGAAATCACCGGCGCCGATCCTCCGATTTCGCTCTTCTCCGTTTTCTCTCCCTCGCGCTTTTTCTCTTATGCAAAGTTGTTTGAACAGATCATCAAAGACCAGAATCTTTTATTATTGTTGTCTTTTAACCCCCATTATTATAGAATATGCGTTTTAAACACCCACTTGTTTTATATTTTTCATATCAGGTACCAACTTGTTAAGTTTTTTTATTAATGAATCGACCCCGATATTCCAAAATATAAACAATTCACTCCCCTTTCCAAATACTCTCTCCCGTTTCATATTATTTGATCGCGTTGACTTGATACTTTCCTTAAGAAAAATTATTTATTAGGGATTTAATTTATTAACATAACCTTATAGATTGTATTTTGAAAATCTATATTTGACTACTAATATTTTATGCAGTTATTTAATGATTAGAATAAGATTGGAATCTTATAATAATTCTTTTTAATTTGCTAAAATAGACAAGTAAAAAGAAAAAAATATACATAAAATAGAAGGAGTAGTAATTTTCAATATCAGATTGACACACACCATTTGAATCGAAGGCGTAATTTAGACAAAAACCTTGTCAAATTAATACACTCTCTGTCTCAATTTATAAATATGGCGGCCTTTTATTTTAAGATGTCTCATAATATTCAACGTATTTTATCTATAATGATATACAAAATATACAAATTATATACATTTAGATCTATTTAATTAATCAAATAAGTTTTAATATATTGTATTTTGATGTAACAAACTATACTTTATACTCTCCACTCCATCTAGGTATCTTTCATGGTTTTGGCACAATCAATTTAGATGTATCAAAGTCATATATATAAAATTTACTTAATTAATAATGGTGAAAAGATGGATTCGTCACGTTTTGTTTGAATATGAGATAAACAATATAAGTAAACTCACATAGGTGAAGAACTTTTAATTGGACAAAGCATCAGTCTCAGCATCAACAAAAGAAAAGAATTGACCGATCGCTGTTCAAGAGAGATCCCGAAGGCTCGAACGCTTTTCATTTCACTAGTATTATTAAAATTTACTTACGATTAAAAATTATATATGTCGAAATTCACCACTAACGATTCAAATGGTGTAAGGTACTTATATAATACTACTAAGATCTTTTTGTAATCTAGTTCACTTTACACACTCTCCACTAATTAAGTGCTTAAATAGTTTACTTTAAAATTTAAAAAATACTAATTATTTTCTCTACTTTAATTTGTACTTGTGGCACACATAGAATCAAACTAATTTAACATGCAAGTAAATTGTTCCAAAAAAAAAAGATTGTTCAATGATCAGTATTTTTAATTTGCTACAATTCTTAATTAGAATTTTATTACTTTAGACTTAATCTTTTTTAATGTGTGTGAAGATCTAAAGCACTAAGAGGATTTGATTTGTAGATAGTTGAAAAATATTCAGATTCTGCATGCTGTAAAATCTAGTAATATCTTGCTTTTTTTTCAACTTTAAAAGCTATGTAAAATTAGCAAAGCATATACTAATGACTTTTGTTGATCATGATATATGCTATAAAGTACTTTTATGTTGTCAAAATGATAAAAGAAAAATAGGGGTAAAGACATTAAGTGCACCCCAACAAATAATGTTTTCTCCCTCTTTCACACTCTTTTATCACCTTGCCTAAAAAAGTCATGTCGAGTGTGTGAACACAATATCATTTTAGTAGTTGAAAAGAAAAAAAAAACCTATATATAAAGTGAGACCGTATAGACTTGACTTAAAGTAGACAATATTATACTAATGATTTGACAAAATGAGTATGAATTTTATAGAGTAATGGTGTGGAGGTCGATTTAGTCCTTTGGTCCGTTTACAAACGACTCTACTACTTCTATTAACTTAGTTCAAGGGGGAGACTTTGGGTACACAAACAAAATCTCACATTAACAACTGAAAAGACAAAGAAGTTGCATATATAAGATACAGTGATACTCTTAACAGTATTGTATGAAGTCTTTCGAAAAAATACATATGATTTTGACTCAAAACAGATAATATCACACCGTATTAAGAGCGTCTGAAAAGTCATACTACATCATAAATGGAAACCTTAATGTGGAGTTTGAGTACACTCATTAAAGATTATAATTTGATACCAAAGTTTCTAATTTTACATCAAAAGAAAACAGGTTGAACCTTTTTTCTATAAGGTGAATTGGACAATAAAGTCAAAAAGTAACGACATTCAACTCACCAATTGGCTGTTGAAAATTTTACCAAATCTTTCATTCAAGAGAAGATTGAGAAAAAAATAACTTTTGAACAAAAAGTAAACAAAGGCATCAAAGTAAAAGTCAATCTAGCTTTCATCAAAATTATCATGAATTCTTGAAAACTAAGTAACTCTATAGTTTCATTTTTTTGTCTTACAATAGTTTAATCACTTCAAAAGAAAATGGGAATCCAAAAAAGTCTAATGTGTGAGTTAGATGCATATTACTGATAAAGACCTGAAATTTAAGTGGAGGAAAGTAACAGAGAGGATCATAGTGGTCGATACGAGCACAAACCTTGTTGCATATGATATGTGTGTGTGAGATACGCGTTATAGATTTGAACCTTGTCTAAGTGGAGAAGAATAAAGGCGCGATGTTAAAAATACTTGTCTATTTACAAGAAGTAAATTTCAACAAATTTTTATCTACTTTTGGCAATACTGTTCCCCTCTTAGATTAGCAAAACAAAAATGGATGAAAATTTCTTCCCATGTAAAATGTACTTTGGCCCATCATTGAGCTCAAAAGCACGCGTACCATGTCTTATAATACAGTTTACTTTTTCTCTCTCATTCCGATGTGGGATTTGACTGAGGTGTCATATACACCACTTTTCTTCAGAAGCTTATCAGCCTAAAAGTTTATACGTCCTTCTTTTCAACCCACCCTTTGGAGATCACATCATGTTATAAAGATGGATGATTTTCTCTTCCCCTCTACATTAGGATTGATCTCACATTGTCCTAAACTATGTTAATTAAATAAAAAGTTGAATAAAGGAAAAACAAAAAGGGGTTATCTGGATTAAATTTCCAAATTGAAGAAGAAAAAAAAATGTTAACATATTTGCAACAGAGATTAGACTGTTGTGAGGCTACTCAATCTTTGTCTTGTTCTGTCTGGTGATAGATTTTCTTCTATGGCCTTTCTCTTGTTGTTGTTGTTACTGTTGTCTTGTAATTTCTGTTGTTGTAATGTGTTGTCTGATTCTTGATTTTCTTCTGGTGGAACAACATATGTTATGTCTATTGATTCTTGATTGTCTTGTGTCACAATTATCTCAGGTTGTTGTTGTTGTTTGGGGCTTTTACATTTGGTTTTCATCATATGAGGTTTAAGTTTATTAACATCTGATAATCTCACTGGCTTCAAGAAAAATTCTTCTGCTCCTTCTTCTAAGCATCTGTAAATCAATCAATACACAATTGAATCAGTCTTGGAACAATAGTAAAGTTATCGACCTATAGGTCACATGTTCGAGTCGTATACACACAAAAAGAGATGAATTTGATTGTTCTGTTCTTACCTACTGATTCTTGAAGGAACATTTTCAGATGACATAATGACTACTGGTATGTTCCTCAGAGATGCAGATTCCTGTTCAAAAGAATGAAAAATGTAAGTAAAAATGCAACGAGTGTGTGTCAGAAACTCCAAAGGTAATGCATTTTTTAAGAATCCGACACGGAAACATGTCGGATCATCTAACAAGTATATCGAATACGACAACATTTTTGAAGAGGCAGATTGAAATAGTTGAAAATGACAAGGCACATGACCCTTTCAATATCTAATAAGCACTATATTAGATATGCAATATTTGCTCATTAGATTCTCAAATGATCTCAAAAATTGAAAGGTGAGAAAAGGACATCAAGTCCAAGTGGGAGAAATACATTAAGAAAAGAAAAAAGAAAAAATCTTTAATATGACAGAAGCAATTTATGTGGAAAATTTTGTTATCAGAGTATTTTTTCCAAGAAAGGAAAATGACAGAGAATTTGGAAAGAAAGTAAAAGGGGAATATAGCAGTAAACAGAGAGAAAAATAGAATAAAAAAAATAAACATACCTTAATTTTCTTTAACAAATCATAGCCTGTCATCCCAGGCATACAATAATCTGTTATAATAAGATTAATTTCCACTTCCTGCAATATTTCAGTAAACAAGAATTAATTTTTCTGTCCAAATTTTCTTGGAAAATCAGAGTGAAAGTTCAAATTTGTAGCCCCTCCGTTTCAATTTGTTTGTCTTACTTTTCCTTTTAATCTGTTTCCAAGAAAATTATTATACATTCAACATATGTTTAGTTTAAGACTACGATATTCAAAAGTCTTTTATTACTTTCTTGAATTCCGTATCAAGTCAAAACCAAACAATCGAATTGAAACAGAGAAAATAGCAAATTACCTGTTGGTTGCTAGGAGAAACACAAGGGTGATTCTGTTCATCATGTTCTTCTTGTAAACCAAGAAATTCCAAAGCTTTACTTCCAGAATCCACAGTAGTAACTGCCATCAACACAATACAAAATGCCCACAAAAAGAATAAAATCAATACCAATATAAACTAACAGTTAATTAAAATCATTTCAAAGACATAAACTTTTTAGTTTTTCATATGTTATCCAGTATTCATATTAGTCATCCGACTAATTCAGATGTCAGAAAATTACATCTAATAACCTTGAAAATGAATAATCTTGAACTTTTTAAACTCCGTCAAGGTGAAAAGTCAAAAGTGTTGCTCATTCGAGCAAAACTTATAATCAAAAGTTCAAAACCGCTCATTTCTAATAAATCACCCTTGGAATTCACTCCTTATCAAAAACTTCTGTAAGCAAACTCGAGACTTCTAAATAAAGACAGAAACTTTATGTGAATCAAGAAGTTACCTTGGCAAGAAGAGATTTTAAAGAGTCTTTCAATGAGTTTTCTATCAATTAAACTATCATCAACAGCTAGAACATGAAACTGTAGATCTGCAGCTGCCATTCCCATTATTTTTGTTTTCAAAACAAAACAGAGAAAAAAAGTTGAAGTTTTTTTTATTTTTCTCTCTCCAAGTATTTTTTTCCAAGCTGGTTTTTGGAGTTACAAGGCAAGAGAAGCAATAAGAAAGACCAATGAAATAATAGAAAGTGGAATATATATAAAAAGAATATGGATTACCAAAAAGATTATAAATCTACAACATGGGGTTGCCTTGCTTCTATAATATTGCTTGATAATGATGATGATTCTTGGAGTTTTTTTGGTTTTTTTTTTCCATGTATATAACTATATAAGACCAAAAGAAAGAAAATTATTATAATAATATATTCAGTATATTTTTATATCATAAGAAGAAAAAAATATACGTAAATTTTACAGACTTCATAAATATAAAGGTTATTTTCTAAAGATCTTCGACACAACTAACTTTGAAGGATATATTCTTCTAACCAACTAAAATTTAACTACTTGTTCCATTTGTCATGAAACTTTTCTTTTTAGTATGTTTTCTTTTTACATCTTTCTATATTTAGTATGTTGTTTCATTTTCCATTTTAGTTTGATTGAAAAAGAATATTTACTTCTTCTTCTCTTATTTAGTAATCTTTTAGTTTAAGTTTTCACCTGTTATATTTAAAATATAAGATGAAATAACATTTTGGTAATTTTTTAATTTCAACTTTGTTGTCTTACTTTCCTTTTTAGTTTGTTTAAAAAGAAGTGATTTTTTTCTCTTAGCAACTCTTTCGTTTTAACTCTCCGTGATATGTTTAAAACTATAAGATGAAACAATATTTGATATATTCAACATATCGTTAGTTTAGAACTACAAAATCAAAAATCTTCTTTATTTTCTTAAACTTTGTTCATAATAAAAACCAGACATATAAATTGAAACGGAACGAGTATTTAGGTAAAGGAAAATGCAAGTGGGAGTTTGAAGTGTATTGGAGGGGTAGAGGGGACCCACAAAAATCCATCAAGAGATACAGGTGATGTAAGCAATGGTGGCCTTCTTTTCTCTTGTGAAATTTAATTATGTGTGCTTACCTTATCTTTGAGACATGGCAATTTCTTTCAAGATTTGTTTCCCATGTGTGCTCCTCCATCTCTATATGTTTTTCTCACCCATTCTTATTCATGCATCTTACCTTTTCGAAAAGAGGCGGATTCATAATTTTGAATTTTGACGTACTTTGATACTAAAAATTTGAAGTATGATTCAATAGATAATGAATAAGACTTTTTGTATATTTTAAGTGAAGTTTCTTAATGTAGATATAAATGATCAAAATCCAAAAGAAAATTTAAATTTGGATTTCTTATAACTTCATGAGCAGTTGCTATTCTTTGAATGCGCATAGGGTGAAACTCTGCTCCTATGTTAAATAGCTCGCAAACCACATAGGAGAGGTAACTGCACTAGGCAAGTCTGATGCGACGAGCTCGACCAAGAAGACAAATTCGTTGACAAGGAATTTTGAACTTAAAACTTCTAATATGGAAGTTGAAGCCTAAACCTCTAGGCCACCCCAAAGGGTGATTCATGAGCAATTTTGAATCGTTTCATATAATTCAAAGGCAAATTTGACTCAATAAAATAATATTTATGTTAAAAAGCTTATTGTTAGTTAATAAAAGCGTTGATATTTAGAGGTTTAGATAAATCATTTGTCTGAATTCATAACTTTTGATATTTAGAGGTTTAGATCAATTGTTTGTCTGAATTCATAACTTTCAAATATATAGGATTATATTTGAGCTCATAATTTAATAGTATAGTAAGTTTAATATTTAAAAAAATTTAAAGTTAAATCCATTAAAATTAAATTTTCAATATAATTTTATTAATTTGACCTCAACTATTACCAAATAACAAATATGATCTGATTTACAAGATTTAGGGATAAATTTAAATCTTTTCCCCACATATAACAAACAAAAAAGACAAATAAAATACATAAATATTATCATGTTGATGTCTATTTTTTCGAAAGAAGTCAGTATAATTTATTGTAATGAGATGGAATGAGTGGAGGCACATGTCTGGCAGATCATGGAATCTTCCAAACAATTTGACCAAGACAGAAAAAAATTACTCTTTAAGTTTTTTTTTTCCCGGTATAATACATAGATAAACATTTTAATTTGATCTCAAATAATTGAATATTTCAACTTCAAAAGATGCCTAATCTATTGAACACTTTAATTTAAAAAATGATCATCTAGACACCTTCAAAATTTATGTGTCAGATTTATATTGTCACAATGAAAACAAATTGAAATGTCTAGAACGTATTTTCAAAATTAATGTTACTATTGTTGTGGCAATATATGTTACTATTGTTGTGGCAATACGGACAATGAGAAATAATATCTTCGATGAGACGTAGTTACTATTGTCGTTATATTTTCAACGCAATCTTTTCTTTTTTTCCAAAATAAAAAGAAGTAAAAAATAAAATAATAATATATATATATATATATATTACTTCCTAGAAATGAGAAAGCTAATATTGTTAGGTTAAATTAACACATAACTAATTTTTAAAATTTGGTAAGATATTCTGATTAGACACTCGAACTAAGCTAGTATATTTCAAAAAAATACTACAACTCTTGTTTCAACGAGACACTTTTGATTCAAAATTTGAGTAAGTAAATATAAATAAATTGTGTGTTCGCATACGTATCAATGTGCTAGATAATCAAGTTAACCACACAATATATTATTTTCTTTAATTATACGCTTTCTAGCATCATAAAATCTTAGACATTTTCTACCTGAGATCAATAAAATCAAATAGGACCCCACAAAAAGATTCCATCAAATAAGGAGAACCATATTATTAATTCAACTGATAATATTATTGTATCGAATAAATTATCATCACATAAATTGGAACATGGTAAATTATGTAATTGACCAATGCAAGTTCACAAAGGCATGTGATAGACAACCCAAAGACACATACAAGTACTTTACATTATGATAAAAATTATTGAATCTTTCACAAAGCCAAAGGAGGCAAAAAAGAAAAGAAAAGAAAAAAGAAGATCATAACTAGACAAGGCAAATAAACAGCAATTAGGGTACATGGAGAATAACAAGTCCTTTTCAAAAAAAAAAAAAAAACATAAAGATGAAACATACTACATGCAGTAAATTTAAAGCTATATTATTAATTTAATACAAATTTCTTTTATTTAAATTTGCGAGTTGGGGGGAAAATGAGAAGGGATGGATTTGTTTGAATTTTATATATTTTTATATGAACTTTAATGTGATATAATGATAATTGAATTTACAGTAAAATATTTATAACTACATAATTAATTTTTGTCATACATATATGTTTAAGATTTGTGTAAAATTTTTTTATTAGATTCACGGAAACTCTCACATTACAATGAGATCCTCCATGTCGGTCATCACCGAGTGAGTAAGGGATTGACCCAGGTGAATTCACAATTTAAAGTATATATATTCTTGAAGCTAGTTCAATTTTAATATACAGTAATAATTGAGTTACATATATAGTATCTGAGTAAAAATTATTAAATTTATCACGTAAATCCCACATATTACATTACAGATCGACCCCTGCCCCATCATGATCATCACAAACGAGTGTGGTACAACTATAATTAGAAACCTTCCATTCTTAACAAAAAAAAATCTCAAATTTGAATCCCTCACACCTCAAAACAAAAAAAACCTCTTTTTTTTTGTTTCCCACCCAGTGTCTGGAGTCCACATTGGAGCCTCGATTAAATCTGAATCGCGCACTACAGGGCCCATTCGAGGGTGGCTCTCCCAACAGGATTTTCTCCATACCCAGAGCTCGAACCCGAGACCTCTGGTTAAGGGTGAAGCACTCCTATCAGTGCACCACAACCCATGTCGGTAAAAACAACCTTTAATTAGGTAGTGCTTTACCCTATCTACTCAATGCAATAAGGAAGAGTATATATTAATCTATAGACCTAAGTTTATACCAAGTCATCTACACCATCATTTTTTCTAAGTTTCACTTACGAATTATACTGAATACATTGTTATAGTTACTCAATGTGATTTCGAATTAATTGAACCAATAAATTTAGGATATGATATGATTAAAGAAAAATAGAAGGGGGTGGACCAATAATCCTACCATCTTTATTTATTGGAGAAGGAAGAGTATTATCAGTTTTTGGTAACAGTTTTGATTTGGAACAGATTGTGTCTACCTATTGAGGAACCATGCATGTTTTTATCATCTTATTTTTCATCATAACTTTGACCCTACCAATGTTTTTAAGGATATTCCCATCTAAAATGGATCCACAATATCAGGTTTACTGTCTTTTTGTCCATATATTCTATATATTCATATTATTCTCCATTCATTTCAATTCTTGTAACAATATTTGACTACAAATAGAGTTTATAAAATTAAAAAAAAAAATCACAACTTATGATCTTATAGTTGTTATGACATTTTTGTGAATAATTGGATCATATCTATCATATCTTATTGTGTGTATTGTATTATATTGTTTTGTGGCATATAATATTAGGATGGATTATATTATGTTTCGCTATGAAATATAATTGATAATACGTATTATAGATGAGCAATTTAACGAATAGACCTATATATTATAAGAAAAGATAGGGTATGATTGATTTTTAAAAAAAAGGTAGCTAACATTGTTGATGCATGGTCAACACCATCCAAACAAGCTATAATCAGTGGTGGAGTTAGAAGCCGACGTATGAATTTGATCAAATTTAGTAACTTTAGTTCAAATTTTATAATTATATTAAAAAAATTATTAAATACGTATAACATTCAGTTATAAACTTGACGTCGTTAACCTAGAATTTAGAACTCATGATAGAGTTCAAATCCTGACTTCGTCTTTACCGTTAAAGATAAAATGATAAAATAAAGTTAGGAAAATGATATTTTCTTAAACGAATTAATAAAGAAAGAATATCACATAAAATGAAACACATTTGCATGATATGATCAATCTTAGTAACTTTTAAGTCGATTGACACTTTAATTAAACTAATTTATGACATTTTAATTATAGTTGAAGTTTGATATTCTTGTAACTAATCCACATGTTTATTAATAAAATATACAAGTATTTTGCATCTTTTTACTCTTTTTATTTCGATTAAAATGTTTATATCTTT